AAGTTCCAACTCCACTCCTCCACTACTCCCAGACCTGTACCCAAGCTCCAGAAGGCAAAGCTAGTATGTGACTTAAAGACTTCTCTGTCTGGTCTTGTGGGACATCCTTTCCACAATTCATCAGAAATCCTTCAAGTCTGTTCCTTATTGCAACCTCTGACAAAAAGCCTTTCCAAATTCTCTCTCATGCTTCCTCAGTCTGGTTCTGTAGCTCACCTCTGGCACTCGCATGGCTTCTTATATTATGTTTGGTACCAGCTCCCTGCATGATGAAGGCACAGTCTTCTTCCTGCCTAATTGCCTAGCATAGCCTAGTTATGATACCTTGAGCCTGCAAGGAACTTAATAAGGATGTTCCTTTGAAGGCTGTGTCTTATGAAGAGGATTGTTCTGCATAAGTCCAGTGCTGTGATCATTGTATGTAGGTGGTAATGGGTAACATCTGGATACCACTGATATGGCCACTGGTCAATCCCTCCCACCACTGGAATACAACTCCAAGTAGGTTTCACACTCTGCCTTTTTTTTCCCTCCTTGTCTTCCCCTTCACCCTGGTTATGAGGCATGAATACAGGTCAAAGAATTTCCTGAATGAGCCAAAGCCCCTGTCCCCAAACCTCATATCTCCCTGTCACTGTCAACTTTGAAGACATTAAGACAGACTTCATTGAGCCTTTTTCTCAAGAGCTAGTAGCTCAGCTCTCATTTTCTTACATTTGTCTATTCCCTTACCACCTGTAAACCTCTACTCCTTTCTCTGTCCTTCTCTCAAAACCTTCTTCTATGTCCTCTGTACTCCAGGTCAGCCACCTGCAATTCCACACATCCCAACCTCCAGGCTTGCACATTCACCTCTGGCTGTTCCAGACCACTCTTCCAACATGTCTCCTCCCCCCTTGAATTTCCTTTACCTCTTCACCTCATCCTTTTGCTGCTTTTTACACTAGGACAATGAGGCCATCACAAGGGACCAACAGAATGTTCTGTCCCCAGACCACTGTGTCAACCTGCCTGCAAGCCTTTGTGCCTGTGAGTTGTTCTTGCTGCTGTTCATCTCCCTAAGGCATCTGCCCCAACCCAGGCCATTTCCTCTGCTTGTGTGCGTCCTGGAGCCCACCGCCCTGCCCCTTCTAGGACTTTGCCCCTATGCACATCTCCTTTTTTCTCCTGTATGGTCAACCTTTCCCTCTCTGATGAACCATTAGCATTGACACTCAAAGATGCTGTAACTCCCCCCATCTTCATTAAAAAAAAAAAACTCAATTGATTTCCCTGTGTGCCTCCTGATTGCTATACCAGGAGGGCCCTTCTTTGTCTATGTTCAGCCCCTCCTCCTCCTATCCAATTTCCCTCCTCCCTTAGCTGGCTAGTCCCTCCTTGTGAGTCACCTTCTCTTTTCTGTGTTCACTTCCCAAGTGTCCTCATGCAAGCTCATGGCTTTATATACCATCTTCTATTATTATGAAAGTTCAAAATTTGTTCTAAACTGAGATCTCTCTCCTGTATATCCAACTGCCTATTTAATATCTCCTTTGGATGTCAGTACTTCAAACCTGAGTGGACGAAAAACTAAATTCATGTTTTCCCACCCAATCTCCAAACTTGTTCCTCTAACACTCACTACTCTCTTCAGTAAATGACACCTTTATCTCTCATGCAACTTCTACCAAGTGCAAGTGGATGTTACTCTGAAGCACTGTACATCTAATTCACTGACCAGTAGCCCGGCCATCAAAATATATGTCAAGTTGGACCTCATATCCCCAACTCTACTTCTACCATTACGTTCTAGCCATCCTAGATTTATGCTTGAGTTACTGTGATAGCCTTAAAATTAATGTCCATATTACTATCATGGACCCCCTACAGTCTGCTATGCCACCTGCTGCCAGGATGAGCCTTTTAAATATAAGCCAAATCACCTCTCTCCTGTACTGAGAATCCTCCTGTAGTTCCCATCTGAAACAGAGAAAAAGCAGAATTCTGCAACATCATGTCCCCACTTTCCCAGATCTCTCCACCCCAGTCCCTCTTAGTGTTTCAACCTCATCTTGCACTTCAGAACTATTCCTTACCATTGCCTTGGAGGCTTCACCTCATGTCACCCTTTTTCTCTCTCAGGTCTCAGCCCAGTGCCATTTTCTCAGTGATTACTTCTGATTCCCACCTTACTAACCAACCCATCCCATTCTGCTGAATGCCTCTCCGCACTCAAGGAGAGTGCAGAGCATCTGTTCACATACAGTCTACGCTATTTGTTTACATTTGTCTTTCTCCATAAGAACATAAGTTCCAAGAGGACAGAGGGCTTTGCCTTGTGCATTTGCTCATTGCCATATATACCCAATATAGTGCATGGCACATTATTAGGTCCTCAGGAAACACTTGTTGAATAAATGAACATCATTGCTGATGTTTTCTTCCACATTCAAGGTCAGCCTGGCATTAATCAGTGTTTTGCAAGGGCTCCCATTGGTGTGCTGATGCCAGGCTGTCCTCTGAGAATGTGTCTGCTCTTTCCAGGTAAGGCCACTCAGAGTACAGTCAGTAGTTCCAGGCATCAGTTATGGCCTTTGTGGCCTTCTAGGTTTGTCCCCTTCAGACTTTTGGGAGAATTTGTGCAGCCAGTTCAGTAGTCAACATCAGATCTAGACTTCAAGCCAGTGGCTGAGTACATCTTGTTCTAGGCCCAGCTTGCTGCTGTTATTTAATTTAACATTGAGCACTGGGCCAAAACTGACTTGTCTCCAGCCAAGTTGAAAACCAACCAAATACCACATTGGATAATCATTCCCTTTCTTCTGAACTTTTCTTATTCATACTAGATGTCATAATTGAAACTTTAAATAATGGAGTTGGACTGGAATATCACCCTTTTTTATTTGCTTGGTCATTAAAACAAAGTTCCCAGAGCTGGCACTATGAGTCAAGATTGGGCATCTGCAAGGAGTGTGTGCTATATTTCAGTAGCCTCATCTCTAGTCTCTATAATATTTTTGCATATTCATTATCTTTGTTAATATGGTCAAGCTTATTAGCTGATGCCCACTCTCAAATGAAACAAAATATACCGTATTCTCTAAACAAAATGCACACAAGATAAAAAAAATGCCTTTATACAAAAAATTAGAATTTATACAGAAAAAAGTATAAAAGTTTATACTCCATTGGAAAACTGACAAGAAAATAACAAGGCAGAGGGGGAAATATTACAAAAACAACTCTTTGCCAAGCAGTTTGTAAATTGTGCTGTTAGATTCATAGATGCCGGTGAGGAAAGACAAAAATAATGTTTTTTTAAAAAAAAACAACTATCAGTTGCAATCATAATCTGTCACAGATTGTCCAAAGGTGATTGATAGCTCCTAACCACGGGCACATGTTTCCAAAGAAATGAAAGCAGGGAAAAGAGCATCCTAAGAGATGTGGTTCTAGACATGTCCATTTTAGGAAGGGCAAGAGGGACAGAGCACACATGAGAAAGGCAGACACCGCCTGCACCCACAGAGCGCCCAGAGCCAAGGACATGCTCATCAGATTGTCTGAGGCATGTGTCTTATTTCATCTCCACTTTGTGGTTGTGTCACTGCTTTATCAGAGAAACCTAAACGCAGATAAACACCTGAACCCATCAGAAGGTTGATCATGGGTCACTGTTCCCATTTTTTTTGAGTCACTGTGCCATTTTGCAAATGGCTGCTATCATAATCATGTTGCAACTGTGTCACACAGAAAGAGAACATTTCATTTTCTTGACCTGCAAAGGGAAATCAGTTAAAAGTAAGTCCTAAAGAATGATAATATGGAGCTTACAATGGCTGCATAATGATATACTTGCCTGTGTTCCAACAGGGAACAAAAAGCTAAGGGTGACTACCTGTCTTTGTCCCAAAGCAGAAGAGTCATGAACAGTTCTTAATGATCCCAGGTAAAATGCTGAATAAAGATAGCCAGTTATTCACTCAACAGAAGCAAATATGACTATTAACGAGACTTACTCATCTGTTACTGAGTATTTATGATATACAGGTTGTATCTTACTACATTTTATGTTTAATTTTTTTTAACTAAAGTTTTTCTAAACATTTTCCCCAAACTCTTGCATTTACTAACATGATTTAGTTACCAAAAATGAAATTAAAAAATCTTAAATCATTTATGTATTTAGAAACTATATTTGGAGAACTGGTAAATGCTAACTTAATGAGATAAATGGAATGACTTACAATATGTGAGCATTTGGAAGAGTAAAATCCACATTATTATATATATATATATATATATATATATATATATGACATAAAATCAAATTTACAAAACATTGGAATTTTTCAGTTTCTGAATTTGAAGTGCTGTTTCTTTTTGCATGATTTTTTTTAATTTTAATTTTAATTTTTATAACATACCCATTTCACTTTTAGGTTTTTCTTAACAATTTATTTAACATAAGAGTTTCTTTCAAGATGACCATCTGGTTGTATATTCCAGTGGTTTGTTGGATATTTCAGGTGTATAATGTCCATTAAAATAATTAACATTAATACTTTCAACATCTAACTAGACAACCAGTATAAGGGACATTCATTCAAACAAAATAGCAGAACATCTCTTGACCTTGTCATAAATAAAAGTGGCCTGTAAAGCTTTATCCAGAAGGGTTTTTGCTTAAGGTATGCTCTCATTGTGACTATTCCTTCTTTTAAGTGTGCCTCTGTGGTAGAATCTCAGATAAACATGGCCTTGGATCTTTTACTTCAAATCTCTCACCTGATCTTGACCAACTTTGTCAGGTCAGGTCACAGCCATGTTCAGGATACAAGGTTTCTTGGAAAAAAATCTTGATATCAAGAAGAAATGAGATTCACATGTTCCTACACCCCCTATTTCTCAGCCATGACTTACATTAGAATTTGTCTAGTTTTCTGTGCACAAAGGCACAGATGTGGTGAGAGTTCAGTTGTCAGGAATTGAGGATTACTAAGTAGAAACACCAACAGAAGGAGAGGAAAAGCTAATTCAATTTTAATTACATTTTTACCAACAAAAGCACAAAGAAAAGTCTAAGGTGAGAAGTTTGGGCATGAAATAACCTTTGTCTACCAAGTATGGGTTGCACGGTAGCTCAAACACCAAGCACCATCCCTTCCTGGTATGCCATGGAGAAGCTCTGAAAAAAAAATAATTTCTGTTTAGTGAATTGAACATTGCATTCCTAATATTTTTCATCGTGAACTCATTTAGCAGAGGAAATGGATGTTTCATCAAACATGGATTTGACATTCCATCACATTATATCGTAAACAGGACAAACGGTGTGTTGGAAATGGGAAGCCAGGAGAGCTGAGACGTGGCCGCCTCTTTAAGTCCCTGGTTATCTCATTTAAACAGATATTAAATGTGGGTGCCAGTGGTGTGATCACCAGCTGCTTCCCACTTTGTGAATAAATTGCTTAGAAGGAGTCTTTTGCCTACCAGATGTGACCTAGATTTTGATTTCCAAAGGCAAAGGGAAAAAACTCTATTGTGTTAAAAAACAATTGCTAGTAAAATGCATGGTAAATGAGCTTATCTTACTTTTCCAGGTGTTTGGGCTAATATGTTATGGAATTATTGCTTCATTTATGAAAAATAATTGAGGAAAATGTTCCAGCAAATCAAATTTGGATAAAGGCTTAGGGATAGCTATTGTGTTGTTAGCAAGTTTTAAAATGGTAGAAAGAGCAGGAGCCAAGAGAGATAATAAAAATATTTTAAAACTGTATTTGAGAAGAGTCTCTTATAAAGGGGTCAGACGTGGGTGTGCTGTGGTTTAGTAAAATATTGAAGAACAACGTGAACAATTATAGTCCTTTCAGTGCATATGAAAGCTGTTTAAAAAAAATCAAAGCTCCTCTGTCTGCTGGCTCTGATAAGTCTTATTACTCTGTTAAACGCAGAAAAAAAATTTAAATGTAACATCTTTATTCTCTTACCCACTCTCTCTCTCCTGTTTCATTTCCTTTCATCTTCAGGAGCTGCCACTCCAAAACCAGTCCCAGAACCTGAGAAACAAACAGACCACACGGTTAAAATTGCTGGAGTCATTGCCGGCATCTTGCTCTTCGTTATTATATTTCTTGGAGTTGTGTTGGTAATGAAGAAAAGGTGAGTCCCCAGCTGTTGCCAAAAATTTAGTTATCTCCCATTGTTTGCCAGGTTGCTTCATGTGTAAAATTATTTAGTTACTGTGTTGGCGCTGATGACCAAGACACATCTGTGACTCTGTGATTGCTAACATTTTTCATCATGTAGCATTCAACGTTATGGGACAGAAATTTGGAGTAAATGGCTGTGTTTTGTATGAATATACAAAACATATTATGCCAGAATAGTACAAGAATTTTGTGCCTTATAACGCATAAAGCTCTGAAAATCTTAGAAGCTGGTTCCCTGCAAGGGAATTTATAGTAATTATTGCTAACATGCTAGTATATCTGGGATTCTCAAGGATATTAGAAAGCACTTTTCCTTTTTTTTTTTTTATAAGGAAGATGAGCCCATGTTATGTGCAGGTACCATGCTAGGGTGTTTGCTTAATCAGCACTACCCCTTGAGAAAGTGAATTTCAAAGAACAGCCCCACAGAAAAATAGCAGAGCATCATCACGTATAAGGACAAGTTATACTGTGAGTTAAATGTTATAATATGGCCCTGTCTAGCTAAAGGGTCATCTGGGGGAAGAGATAAATAAAATATATCTAGCTATAGTAAGCAATTCTTACCTTTCATACTTGAAAATTTTTGCTCTGTAAATATAAGTAAAACCATACTTAGCAGTGAAATCTTCAATCTATATAAATGGCCAACTTAAAAATATAGATGGTGGGCTGGGGATGTGGCTCAAGCAGTAACACACTCGCCTGGCATGTGCGGGGCACTAGGTTAGATCCTCAGCACCACATAAAAATAAAATAAAGATGTTGTGTCCACTGAAAACTAAAAAATAAATATTAAAAAATTCTCTCTCTCTTTAAAAAAAAATACAGATGGTACAAAACTCCAAAATGGAAGAAATGCATGGGTCTTGTTACTTTTCTCTGTGGTAAACAATTATTTTAATGGAGTGGGAGGAGTGAGGTCATAGATATTAGGCAGCAAAGGAGGAGAGGTTTCCAAGTAAGGTCTTGAAAGTTGTGCCTTGTCATGAAAGGTGGCTGGACTGGGTCCTGAAGTCTGCTGATGGCCTTTAGCAGGTAGGAACATGATCCAAATTTTATCATAGGAAGTTGAGCTGACTGAGGAAGGGAAGTCCTCTAGTCACAAAGACCAGTAGAGTGAAGAGAGGGGAAATCTGAGAAATATTTGAGGGGAAAATTTTAGTAGCCATATGGAGGAAGAACAAACAATACAGAGAGAACCTGGCTCCTGGTTAAGACAAGTTAGTGGAGATAGCACCATTTACCAAAATGTGGAGTGGAGGAGGAATTAGAACATATGTGAGGAATAAAGATGGAGAATTCAGCTGTCCACATGCTAGGCTTAGGGTTCCATTAGGGGAGATGTCCCATGTAGGTGGGTATGTTCTTGTGGAGGAATCTTAATTTCCATAGCCTAAAAGCCTTCAACATTTCTGGAGCTGAAGCCGTGGGATTGAACGAGTCCTCTGAAAGTTATTGTAGAGTGAGAAGAAACATCATCAAAAACGAAGATAAAACCTGGGTTGGTAGCAATAAAGAAGGGGTGAATCTATACCCAAATATTGCACATATGCTGCTTTTCTTCTTCCTCCATTGTGTGTTTTCTTCCAGTTCAGCTCCAGAATGAAGTGTGGCCCATTCATAGCCTTGTACACCACAGGTTTGGGGTCCTCATGATATCATGTTCTTTATCCCTTGTCATATGCTGTTTATCCTTTTTTTCCTTTTCTTCACCCTTCATTTAATTGCTCCTATAACTTTGAATGCTTTTTCCTTCATTCTAGTTCTCTATACCTCTCTTAACTTTTCTTGTGCTACTTTGTTTCTTTTTTCCTCCATATTTCTTACATTTTAATTTTTTTCTCTCTATCCTCTTCCTTACCTCTCACCTCTCATAATTGTTTTCCCCTAGATGTTATTCATCTTGATGTTTATCTGAATACCTGAATACCTGCACCAATGATACCTCTCTCTCTCTCTCTCTCTCTCTCTCTCTCTCTCTCTCTCTCTCTCT